CAACCACACACATTTCACAGAAAAACAATTTACAAACTGCCTCCCCCCCCCCAGCCTTAATGAAGCTTCAAAATAATCCTCGAGTTCTGCAGAGAGGCCCCAGAAACAAAGCTTTAAACAATGCAAAGTAGCATGGTGTTTTTTTAATAATAGCTGCATGGGTTTTATCATTACAGTCACTGCATTAGCATGACAAATAACCAGTGAGAGTGTGGCTTTTGAATGCTCCGTATAGCTCAACTCCTACGTTATCATATTCGCCTGGTGCTGCCAGTGCTACCGCTTCCTACTTCGACATTCATTAACCTTTACGATGCTTCACCTTTCACCAGAGGAGAAGTAACAAGATGGTGGTCAGCGCACTGCACACACAACTAGTATTAGAAGGAGTATTTCTTTGTCTGGTGATGTGTTTAAAAGTTTCCCTTGCGGGCCCGGTTGGGTGGGTGAGCCGTTAAATGACGCTGGGTGACAGCAGAGAGTGATGGCTCAAGTGATAAACACACAGATAATGAAAGAGAAAGGCTGATGGATTTCGACCAGACTGCCGCTAATGGGCACTGGTCTCACCTGGCTAATGGCCGGAGCCTTTAAAAGAGAGAGAGAGAGAGAGAGAGAGAGAGAAACACAGTCTGAAAGTGGCTGTGCAGTGCTCTATTGGAGCGGCAGCTTGCTGTGGTTTGGCCTGTGGTTTCCAACACCCCCCCCTAAAAGCCCTCTTTGTTCTCACATTTCAGAAAAGGAGTCGGTAGCCAGCGACGGATTGCTTTACTCCTGCCTGCCTTCAAACTGCCTCGCTAACAGGACTTCAGGGGACGATTCTGACCAGTTAATTGCACAGGACCCATCGTTTCCCTCCCTCGGGCGGCACTGTTTGTACACACAGCCGATCTAGTGAACTCTGTGCGAGGGCTGGACATCAACAGTGTGCCGGCAGACTCTCTCTCTCTCTCTCTCTCTCTCTCTCACACACACACACACACACACACACACACACACACACACACACACAC